TTAGTGAGCATTCTCTCCCCCTCTGATTGGTGGATCCAACTCATTCGGTTCGTCCATATTGTTGAATCACCGCCAACTCTCCCTGTTGCTGCTCCCACAAACGCACGTATGGACTGCCGCCATCCACCAACACATCGTTGTTATCAACGCGGGGCGTGTCAACCCGCAAGCGGCACCACCGCACCCTCCTAGTAATAGAATACATTCCTGTCGCCCACAAAACGCCCAGTCTGCGAGGCGCCGTTTGTGCTGCGGTGCATTGGATGCGCCCATGTGGAAACTAGAGCCGGTCCCCACGGCGCGTTATGAAAGGACATATGCGTTGGCGGGCCTGCGGCGGTGGGCCCCATTCGGGCATGAGAAACGCTTCCCCGCCGTCGACGCTGACGGTACAGCGCGTCGCGTTGATCAGGGCTGGTTCGCACCGCGGGCAGTAGTGAGTAAATGGATTGCTGCGCATGGAGCTGCGGCGATGAAGTTCGAGAGGTCGCCAGCCTTGTCACAACCTCGGCCAATCGTCGGTGAGACACAGACGGAGCCGCCTCTCCAGTGGGTCTTTGCACCAGCGTGTTTGCAGCTCCTCGCGGCGTCACATGCTGCTGAACATTTTTATTATTATGGTACGGGTGTGTTCCTTCTTGCTGCTGTCGCACCGGTGGGAGCTTGGACGACTCCATTTTGGCAGGCGACACTCTCTCGGGACGCAGGCGTAGCACCGGCCGCGGTAACAGCACCGCGGGATCACTCCACGAAGGAACCGTCCCCTGGTATGCGTCATACTGCCGCTGAATGCGCACCGGCCTCCGCTGCTCGGAAGATGGCGGCGGCGTCGGCGCAAGAGCAAAAGAGGCAAAGCGAACCCCGCGTCTCGGCACCCCATCTGCTGGCGCTGATGCCGCCGCCGGCTGCTTCGCCGACGGTCTGGCGGCCCTCCGGCCCCCACCGACACCCTCTTCCACCGCACTCAGCAATGGCAGCGGCCTCGGTGCCTCCACCCCCTCCTCCATGGCGCGCGTACCTCTCGCAGATCCGTCAAACGCGCGGTCAAAGGTGGCAGACGTCAAGTTCTGTACACGGGCCTTCCCAACAAGAACCATCCGGCGCACATCACTTCCTGGAATAAAGCTTCGATCCGGATAGACGTCCGTGAAGACACGACGCTCCGAGCTCGGACTCGGGGCCACCAAAGACACAACTGACGGACGGTTTTTGCCCGAAACACCTTTGCGCCACTCCACAGCAGCAACCTCCTCAACACCGCTGAGCTCAACTAAAGGCCGTCGCAAAGCATTAGCCACCGCATCACTCTCCAAAACACCTGGTGCAATGCCCATTTCTCGTGTGTTACTCTTCTTAACAACAACCGCACGCGCGGCAGAAAGCACACGGGAATTCGTCACACCCTCACCTCCATCAACAGAGGAAAGAACATGCAGAGGCGTCACATCGGTCGCAAGACCCCCACACAAATCACACACAGTTCCCATTCCCACAGAAACACTCATGGGACCACGCACAAACGTCCACTCCTCCGTTGCCATGAGCGCAGCCGCATCCCTGTCCGCGGGGGCAGTTACTGCTGCCGAGTCACTGAGCAGCGCAGAACCGACAGTCACGTCAAGCGGCCTCGCCTCCGTCGTCAACTCGTCCGTTGCCATGAGCGCAGCTGCATCTTTATCAGCACGAAAAAATCGCGCAAAACAAAAACGTAATCAACCATTCTCCAAGACGTAGATCATGCCCCTCTCATTGCGCACGGTGCTGGTGCCTTCCGTGCCACGCAGCAGCACCTTCGCCTTCTCCTCCACGGCACTAATCATGCCCCTCTCGTTGCGCACGGTGCTGGTGCCTTCCGTGCCACGCAGCAGCACCTTCGCCTTCTCCTCCACGGCACTAATCATGCCCCTCTCATTGCGCACGGTGCTGGTGCCTTCCGTGCCACGCAGCAGCACCTTCGCCTTCTCCTCCACGGCACTGATCATGCCCCTCTCGTTGCGCACGGTGCTGGTGCCTTCCGTGCCACGCAGGAGCACCTTCGCCTTCTCCTCCACGGCACTGATCATGCCCCTCTCATTGCGCACGGTGCTGGTGCCTTCCGTGCCACGCAGCAGCACCTTCGCCTTCTTCTCCACGGCACTGATCATGCCCCTCTCGTTGCGCACGGTGCTGGTGCCTTCCGTGCCACGCAGCAGCACCTTCGCCTTCTCCTCCACGGCACTGATCATGCCCCTCTCATTGCGCACGGTGCTGGTGCCTTCCGTGCCACGCAGCAGCACCTTCGCCTTCTCCTCCACAGCACTAATCATGCCCCTCTCATTGCGCACGGTGCTGGTGCCTTCCGTGCCACGCAGCAGCACCTTCGCCTTCTCCTCCACGGCACTGATCATGCCCCTCTCGTTGCGCACGGTGCTGGTGCCTTCCGTGCCACGCAGCAGCACCTTCGCCTTCTCCTCCACGGCACTAATCATGCCCCTCTCGTTGCGCACGGTGCTGGTGCCTTCCGTGCCACGCAGCAGCACCTTCGCCTTCTCCTCCACGGCACTAATCATGCCCCTCTCATTGCGCACGGTGCTGGTGCCTTCCGTGCCACGCAGCAGCACCTTCGCCTTCTCCTCCACAGCACTGATCATGCCCCTCTCGTTGCGCACGGTGCTGGTGCCTTCCGTGCCACGCAGCAGCACCTTCGCCTTCTCCTCCACAGCACTGATCATGCCCCTCTCGTTGCGCACGGTGCTGGTGCCTTCCGTGCCACGCAGGAGCACCTTCGCCTTCTCCTCCACGGCACTAATCATGCCCCTCTCGTTGCGCACGGTGCTGGTGCCTTCCGTGCCACGCAGCAGCACCTTCGCCTTCTCCTCCACAGCACTGATCATGCCCCTCTCGTTGCGCACGGTGCTGGTGCCTTCCGTGCCACGCAGGAGCACCTTCGCCTTCTCCTCCACGGCACTGATCATGCCCCTCTCGTTGCGCACGGTGCTGGTGCCTTCCGTGCCACGCAACAGCACCTTCGCCTTCTCCTCCACAGCACTGATCATGCCCCTTCCGTTGCACAGAGCCGCGATGTTCTTTCGTCGGTGCGGAGTCGGCGCGGCCTGCTTGTCTTTTGTGGGCGGTGCCAGAATACTGTCTGCCTCCAGTTCAGGCCCTAGAGTTGCATTTTCACATGTTTTAGCCTGTGAAGGACTCTCAAAACCCTTTTCAGATTGCTTGAATCGATGGTGTTTTTTGAGTATGTCAATGACAGTAGGAAATACGCATGTGGCAATGGATTGCTGTAGTTCAGCGTCGGTGCGAGTGCCGTCGTGTTCCACAGCCGTTTGCACAATGAGAGAGTCTCCGTAGTACTCATCTGTTGTTATGTTCGTTCGAGGGACGTCAAGACGACAGGCGATGTCCTGCGCAACTGCCTCCTTGATTTGAGGCCGTATCTCACTTGGCAGCGCACGCCATTTATACCCACAAATAACGCCACAGAGAAGGGATGTTTGTGCAGCGGCTGACGCGGCACGCTTTGGCTGTTGTAGCTTATCCTCCGTCCTTGTATCCTTTTTCTTCTCATCCCCCTCGCCGCCCCACACCTTCGGAGTCGCTGAGTATGGTCGAGATGGCTCCAGAGGAATTACGTGGGACCTTAGCCGCTCAGCCTTCCGTAGAGCTTTTGCATGCCGGTCCTCCACCACTTTTAGGGTGATCCACGAGCTGCTCTCATCGAGGGCTATCGCCTTGCGCTCCTCTTCCTCCTCCTTCCCTAACAGCGTCAGTGCCATCTCCCACGACTCCTGCATTTCTCGTACCTTCTCGCTTTGTGTGCGGAGGCCGCTCCAGTCTCGCTGCTGCTGCCACAAGCCGGTCAACGAGGGAACATTGCGGAAAAGCCCTCCGCCCGGCGTACCGCTCTTCAGTGGAAGAGTGGGCCTTGGACTCCGCCTGTATTCATCCATTATATTCGCAGTGGTCGCCATGCCAACAAGGCCCTGCATCTCATTGCAATCCTCAGCCCCAACAAGCTCCCCACCTGAAACCCCCGTGCCTTTGCCTTGTCTTCTAGTGCTGGGCAAATCCGGATTATCCTCCTTCGACTCCACCACAACACAAAAGGAGTCCATGCGCTTTTGAACGGTCCGGGGTGTCAGCAAGGTGTAGATGCTTGCATCCCT